ATCATACGACGAATACTTCAACAGACTGAGAGGGCTCATCAAAAACGGGCAGTACGGTCAACTACAAAATGACATCTTGCTCGACAAAATCATCTGCTCAATAAAGGACCACGACCTTAGAGAAAAATTATGGTTAGACAACAATATCACGTTAGAGAAAGCTATAGAAACATGCAGGTCGAAGAAGACTACAGAAAAACAGCTTAAAAGTATGGAAGAAAAACCGAAAGAAGTGAATAAAGTCCAAACCAAAGGTAAGAAAGAATTAAGAAAAAAATCGTGTGGACACGAGACATGCAAATATTGTGGTATGGAATACCACGAAAACCTACAACAATGCAGGGCGAGAATTTCGACGTGTAAGAATTGCAACAAAAAAGGCCACTGGGCAAAAGTGTGCTTATCTAAATCGACAAAACATAGCAAAAATGGGAAAACGGTCAAAGTAGCAAGCAACACCAACGAGACATCCGAATCAGAGGACGAGGCATTCGTGCTACAAACATTCGAGCAAAACAAAGATGAAAAAGGCTTATACATAAAACTAAATGTCATTAACAGTAACAACAAGGTCCATTATACAAAATGTCAGCTAGACACAGGAGCAACCTGCAATCTAATCGGAATAAAAGAGCTAAAAAAAATTTAAGCAACCCCTCTAATAAATTAAACAAAAACAAAACTTAAAATAGTAGAAGCGCCTCAGATCATACCCATTGGTAAAACAAAACTAAATATCAAATACAAAAACTCCGAGCACTAATTATCGTTCTACGTCATAAAAGGCAACCATTGCCCACTACTGTCACTGCAAACCTGCCAGTTATTAAACCTCATAGAAGTATGCAAAAACGTCGAAAAAATACAGGTGAAGCCGAAGCATACAAAATCATCGAAGCTTATGAAGACGTATTTCAGGGTCTGGGAAAACGGAAAGGAGACATTTCCCTCGAAATCGACAGCACCATTACTCCCAGGAACGAGCCACCTCGAAGAATTCCGAACAACTGAAATCAACATTACAGGAGATGGAAATCATGGGCGTTAAAAAAAACACAACAAACTAAGAATATGCATCGATCCAAAACATCTAAACGAAGCAATCAAAGATGTAAAGTACCAGCTACCAACCGTAGAAGAAATTCTAGCAGAACTAGCAGATGCGAAAATCTTTTCGATATTGGACGCCAAACAAGGATTCTGGCAACTGCCACTGGACGAAAAGAGCAGCAAACTTACATCGTTCTGGACTCCATATGGCAAATATAGGTTCAAACGCGTTCCGTTCGGTATAAAGCCAGCAATGGAATCTTTTCAGATGCGACAAAACCAAGTAATAGCCGGTCTAAAGGGTGTTGTTTGTATCGCCGACGACATCCTAGTGTTTGGCAAAGGTGAAAACAAGGATGTTGCAATTTCCGACGTTATCGACGTTACCGACTCCATGTTATATGCATGGAGCCGAACACGTCGATAATGATGTTTAAACGGAGATTAGTGTTAACCACATATTGAGTAAACGGCCCTTATAGTACCACAACAAATGAGACGCGAAATATTGAACAAACTACACCTAGGCATCGAATCAACACTAAAACTGGCAGGAGAAACCGTTTATTGGATAGGCATTACCGACGAAATCAAACAGATGATCCAAGCCTGCGAAATATGCAACGTAGCTGCAAGACAACAGCAACGAGAACCACTGATGATTCCCGAGATTCCCCGCACTCCATTCGAAATCATTTCCATGGACGTCTTCGAGTTTCCGACAAAAAATAAAACAAAATATTTTGTAATCACCGTGGATCACTATTCAGACTTTTTTGAAATCGACGAGTTAGATAATTTGTCAGCCTTTACTACTATAAACGTATGCAGAAAGAATTTTAGTAGACATGGTGTACCCGGCAAAGTCATTACAGATAAAAGTTCAGGAAATTCGCAGACAAATGGGAATTCAATCATCAAACGTCAAGCCCATATCACCAACAAGCTAATGGGATGCAGCAGTAAAGATCGCGAAACACCTGTTGAAAAAGACCTTAGCCACAAACTCGGACTTCTACAAAGCATTACTAATTTGGAGAAATACACCAAACAAAATCGGCTCCAGCCCAGCCAAACGTCTATTTTGCAGATGGCTAAGATGCGACATTCCTGCCACAAATCTAAACCAAGAAGTAGTACCAGACGTACCAAATCAAATAAAACAACAACGGACATATAACAAAAAATACTTCGACAAAGGAACACAAAAGGAGAAAGATCTAAAAATAGGAGACGAGGTATACATAAAGCGAAATCCAAAAGAAAGTTGGGTTAAAGGGAAAATCGAACGAAAAGTAGCCGAACGATCATTCGTCATAAACGCAAAAAACAAACTATATAGACGAAGCACTATTCACATAATGAAACCAAACACCAAGAAACGGAAGTCGCACGAATCACAGACTCACCTTCAAATGGCAAACGACCACCTTATCGAACCACCTCAACAAAAACCTCAGGAACCACAGCCTCATCTCCAGGTACCAAATGAAGAACAGTGTGAAGTACCTCAAAAGGCGGAACAAAGTAACCAACGGTCAACACGAACAAGTCAGTCAACTGAACCCCAGTCAACTGAACAAGCCGAAGGAAGTGCCCCCCGTCGGAAGACTACTTTCGAAAACCGTCAACAAGATGGCGAACCAAGTCAAAGATCACGCAGAGAATGTAGAGCTCCAAGAAAGCTTGACGACTACGAGGTCTGCTAAAACTTTAAATCAAAGGGGATGTCATAATACAGGATCATCTGGCAACCCTGAAATACGAAACAGAAGAAGCAGCAACACGAGAGCAAAATGACAACTGAACAGGTTCGAGAATCATCTATCTGACCACGCGGTATCAAGACATAAGATCAAAAATACGTTTATATCTTTTTAAAGAATTGAGTTTATGATTGAGTAAATAAAGGAACTAGACTAATACAACAAGTATCATTACACGGCGTTTTTTTTATTAACACGGCAATTACTGTAGATACTAACGTGAAGGTCAATGAACAAATTACCTTTGATATTAGGTATATAATACTCGTGGCATTATTTGTCCATCTTTAATGAAACAGGTGATTTCGTCGCTTACGCCCTTTTTGTCGTCACAAAAAAAGGCTGCAGTACAAAATCTTAATCTAGCAGAAATATATGCATTTATGTTTGTTTGTAAATAGTCCATATTTGGAAGAAATAAGTTAATTGTAAAATCAATAATTTTTAAAGAAAGCTTTCTAAATATGAACCAAATAGGACAATAACTACTGGGTTTACCAGACTCATGCGCCACCTATCAGCAAAATTTCAAGTACAGTTATTCCTTTTCATGTAGTTAATATACGTTCTAAATATGAACCAAATCGGACTATTAATACGGGATTTTCAAATATCTCGACTCCTGCGCTACCTATCGGATTAACTCATCTTTCGTATTGCATTGTCATCGAGTTCTGACAATGTGAAGTTTCAAGTCTATAGGTCATTGAGAAGTTGATCAAAAATTGATTGCATAGGGCCGTTTTCACCATCTCTGGTTAATACTAATCCCCAGTTAAACATCGTTACCGACTCCATGCATATAACATTGTGTCAACAACGTCGGTAATGATATTTAACTGGAGATTAGTGTTAACCAGAGATGGTGAAAACGGCCCTATGCAATCAATTTTTGATCAACTTCTCAATGACCTATAGACTTGAAACTTCACATTGTCAGAACTCGATGACAATGCAATACGAAAGATGAGTATAGAGGACGATAAGGAGTTTTAGTTCGGATTGAAGTTCCACTCTACTGGGGTTAGGCTTTCGATGCGTTCTCCTTGTGTATATATAAAAAAAAAACATACAGAGCAAGTGAAATAAGGGCTTTTAAAATAGAGGCACTTCAAAACTTTCACACAAAAATGTAACAATTCCCCTCTGCAATGTCAAATTGTTCACGGAGTAAAAGGCTTAACCGACATTGCGGGCACAAAAAAATGTAAACAGAGTACAATTAAGCACTTAAGCCAAAATTGCTTTCGCTATAACTTTGTAACGATACTTCGTAGGACTTTGAAATTTTTACAGCTGCACATACCGGTATTTTGATAATCTAGGCGGCCAAAACTATTTTAACGTTTTTTATAGTACTTAATACTTTTATTCATCATCATTCAGACAATGGACTTTTTTTATTAAACTATTATATTATTAACCCTTAAATGACCGTGGTATCTTAAAAGACACAACCATTTTGTACTAGAATAAATAGAAAATGAAATTTTTTTTGGGTATTTATAGGTTAAATTATATAAAATAGACATCATTATTAATGTTTTATTTATTTATTTATCAAATGCCAAGTTTCATGGAAAGTTAATGCAATACCACAGAAGGTGTCAAACAAAATACATTATTTGAACCAAAAAAATATATATAAAAATAAAAATATTTAATTCAATCAATAATCTTACGTCAATAAGAACTAAAGCAAAATGAAACAAATTAAAGGAAAAAATTACAAATTTTCATTATCTGATGAATCAGATTCGTTAGGTTGGGCCGGAATGAGTAAACTTAACGTTTCAGGTAAATATGATTTTAATTTTCCTCTTTTCACATTTCTAGTGCTGCTAAATAAAGGGTCTGAACTTAAAAAAAGTCGATTAAAAATGTCTCTATTGCAGTTTTCTCGGGAAAATTTTCTTGCGAAGTCTTGGCGGTAAGTTCTAAAATGTTTATTCCTTGCTTCTGCAGCCTCATCCGAAAGTTGCCCAATAGGCACCAATGCATTTTTTATGATTAATGCACCATGCACAAGTATTTTGTGCATTGTCGGTGTCATCGGGTGCCATGGGTATAATTCAACGTACAACTGCACTTGCACTTGCAGCCACTTTTTCTTGATTTGTGATTTAAAATGTGAAAAATTGTGCTTAAGAGCTGATATCTGTTCGTCAGAGTATTTTTCACTTGACAAAAGCTCCTGTTGTAAAGAGTTTAATTTTTCGTCCAAATTTGGTGAATTCTGAGCTTGCATGCGGTCGAATAGGTATTTTCGAGTCACATTTCGAACCCCTGAAGTGCCTTGAGAACCTTAAACAAACCAAAAAATAACAAGTATAGAAAACGCTTTTAAAAAAAATTGTACAATGAAACGTTTGAAATTCCACAATTAATTAATCTGCGGTTTTCTGCGGCTAATTCTACTTTATTCTACATCTCAAAGCATATGTACACAATCTGAAAAAAAAAATTCAAGCTTGGACGGACTTGGAAGTATAACTTTCAGCTTAACAAATAAAAAAAAATATGTGTAAAAAATGCACTATTTCTCCTTATACAGAATTCGATAAATTACGTTATTAATGAACAAAATCTATAAAATATTTATTAAATTTGGAAAAAACATACCTGAAGCTTCAATTTCCATCATTAAAACGAGACATATAACTTTAATAAGTTAACTTTACTTTTTTTAAGATTTGTTGTTTGCCGAACGCCGAACGAGATATGTGTAGTGTGATAAGCAATGAACTTTTGACTGCCAATAAGGCGGTAGCGCACGCGACGAAAACCATCGAGAGGGGGTGGAGTGAATACTCTATTGTGTTCTCTTTCAATTTTATTCATTATTAAAATCAATTAATGCATTTTACAAAATTGACTTTTGGCCGCCTAGATTATCAAAATACCGGTATGTGAGCTGGTGCGAATGGTGGTAGGTAATCGATTTCCTTCAAAATCAGAAAATCGAAGCTCAATAAAAATATTATAAATAAAATGTTAATAAGCCACAATAACATTGACAAATACGAACAGGTTGTCGCTTACGCTCTTTTGGCGGTTAGGGCTCGAAATATTCAGAAAATGTCTCTATAAATATCTTTGATTTTGGTAAAGGTAAAGAATGGGGCCCGATGAGCTAGAAAAAAATAGAAAGTGGGCGTGGCTCGCCCCTTATTCTTGATTTTGATGGTATAAATTTTGTTTTGCTGCAAATTAAAAGGGGAGGTGCAAGGGGGTGGTAAAAGTGGAATTTTCAATATTTTCAAAAGCTTATTTTTCGAAAATTAATGAACCAATTTTCGAAACCTGGATATGGTTTGAAAGGTGATCAAAATACCTTTCACTAAGTATGTATATCTATATAAATAATATATATAATATATATTTCAAGAAAAACAAGATTTTGTTCTTTTTTAAATGAAAATGTATTTTTTTCTTAAAAAAATACGTAATCAATTATAAGATTTGTATATCAGAACAAAGCAATATTTACAGAAATAGTCAACATTTGAAAAAAATCTATCTTCTAATATAGTCATTCATATATATATATTATAATTTTAAAAAGAACATACATTTTTATTACAAAAATTGTTATAATTTCTTTTTTTTTGTTTTCTCGAAATATTTGTATAGATATACATATTATATGGAAGGTATTTCAATTCCCTTACCAATGATATCCAGGGTTTGAAAATCGGTTCAATAATTTTCGAAATATAAGCTTTTGAAAATAGTGAAAGTTCTACTTTTACCACCCCTAGCCCCGCCCCTATTAATTTGCACCAAACATTTTTTATACCGTTAAAATCAATGGAAAAAGGCGGAACATGTCCATTTTTTCTTTTTTTTTCTAGCTGAATGGGCCCTATTTTTCATTTATACCCCAAAATTTAGGTTGTCAAATAAACTCTCTGGAAATTTCCAGTAGAATATTAGTTTAGATAATAAAATTTAGGTTAACTCGCACACTGCCTATATAATACATTTTAGTATAAAATAGAGTTCCATAAAAATTTTTACAGGTTATTTACGAGGCTCGTAAATTTACGAGCTTTACGAGGTTTACGAGGCTTTTACGAGTTTAAGGGAAGACTCCTATAAATCAATTACAAAACAGACCAAAATTTGTTTTAGCCGTCCAACCGACCAAAGAAAATTCATCCGACCAATTTTGCGCGGAAAAGAAGATATCTGGCATTACTGCCCGCCACTATCGATGTTTCAAAAACATCGATGAAATGTTTGCATTTCTGCCAACAACGAATTTATATTTAACTGCTTTTACACAGTTCAAGTATTGAATTCAATTCTTCTCGCATATGGAAGAGGTGGTGAGAAGAAAAGGGACGAGTACACATGCGTCTGTACCGTCAAGTCGTTTCTACTTTCTTGCTTTCCTTTTGACCTTTTCGTTGTTTCCTATTTAAAGAACCAAAAACTTGAATTCAACAGAATTGAAGCGTGTAAAAGCAAATAGAAAACAGAAGAAAATAAGCAAGAATTGCTTTCAAGTACTTGAATCATGTAAATCGGGTGTTTGATTAGAGACACGGTACGAACCGAGAGTATCGATATGGTACTCATTTAAAGTATCGCTGTAAAAATATCGGATACTTATTATTATCGGGATAAAAAGACTCGGGATAAAAAGACTTAAATCTGAATATTTTACTCTGTAAAGCCCAAAATATATCTATATTGCTTTATATATCAATTCCAAAGTATAGACATATGGGCGTTTCTAGCGATAGGTCATAGTACAACATGGATTTTGCAATCAATGGAACCGGTAGGGTGCGCTGAAGTCAAAATAAAAAAAGTACTCGACATAAAATTCATTGCGATAAAAATTAGTTTAAAAACAATATTAAGAAAAAATTTCAATGGAGATTTTAGTAGCGTAATGTCCTTCAACGTGACGTCAGACATTTCGGCTGATAAAAAAGTAGGAACGATTTTTACATTTTGGAACTTGGAAATTAGCCTTAAATATTTTAGATATTACTATAAATAGTGTTGACCAATTCTCAGTGTTTTCAAAGCTACGTTTTAATTTATTTTTTAACATTTTGTCACGCCACGCCAGATTGGAAATGCCCATATCATCGTTTAAAGCAGGGTTGTTGCGAATATTCCCATTCGCATTCGCAACCGCGGAAGTTCCGCATAAATTTTAACATTCGTATTCGCTTTCGCATTCGCAATAATCAATGCGGAGCTTTTGCGAATGCGAATATTGTGCAAGTGCACTGATAAAACGTATATCTGGCAAACAAAAAATTTTAGCCAACATTTTTTTGCCTGTGAAGATGCTACGTTAAGACTGTCCCCTACGTCGACCTTCTTTCGTAATTTAAAGTCAAAGAGTAAGATAATAGGTTCATTCCTTATCTTTTTGGACTAAAATCTGAAAAGTGTCAAAATGCCAGGAAAAGTAAAGGAACGCAAAAAACCAAATTTTTAGTCCAAAGAATGGCAACAACAAAGCTAACGTCAAATAAGAATGGAAATGTATGTACAAAACACATTCACACAACCACAAGCACAATAAACACTATATCAATTATTTTTTGCCTCCTTCCAATTTCAATTCACTTTTTTTACTTTTTAGATTATTTTCACTTTTTGCGTATTCTTTAATTTCCGTTAATTTAAATTCAGTTGAGTTTGACACTTCTCAGGATTTTGCCAGAAAAAATTCTTCTGACTACTTCGGACTAATGAGAGTCACTCTCACTGTGTGTTGCTCTCTCATTTTTGCTGTCATTTCCGAGTTAAGGAACGCTTTTTGGACTAAATCTGACTACTTCGAACTTTTTCTGACTATTTCTGGGAGATGGGAGAGTCGACTATTTGTGCGTTAAAAGATTACCTTTAATTAGGTAAGGTAAAGGTCTGTTGAAAAAACTGGATGCATCGCTAGTATTTTTCTACTTTTTCTTAAAAAAGTTTAATTATTTTTTCTCATAAAACTTATTATTCTTAACTTCATGTCGCCTTTTATTAGTCTTTCAGCTCGAAAACAAAAACATTTATTTTAATTTTGTGTAAATTGTCAAAATTAGCACGCATCGAAATAAAGATGAAATTATATGTAAATAAGTCGACAGCAAAGTTCACAAATTAAATAAGAATTAATTCAAGGTGAATTTTATATCTATTGAGGAGTGGAACTTTGCATGTAATATATCTTTAGTATAGTATGGAAAGGGCTTAACTCACATCGTCGCTGAAATACAAAAAGCCGTAACTAACTAAAAATCCAAAATTAACTTTTTGATTGATTATGATGCATTTACTCGAATCATAAGTCTCCACATCGTTTTGGCAATACAAAAATTTAGTTAGTTGTGGTTTTTTGCATTTCAGCGACAATGTGAAATAGTATTAACGATACATATCAGGAACCGTAAATAGCAGTTATTTTTTCCCAACAGTTAAACTTGGCCAGATATTTTTTAAGTTCGAAATAAGAGTCTTTCCGGATAGTAAACAAACCGCTTATCCAATTTAAACAAATTTGGTACCAAATAAAAGAGGACTTAAATAGCTTTGAAACAGAAATAACGATCGAAGGCTACCACATCTATTTGTATATTTTTTTTATAATTTAATACAAAGGAATGCATATACCTGACCTTTGTTCTTTGGTAATTAAAAAACATTTTTTATTTAAATGTTTTTCAATAGCTGGCTTTCTGCTGGCTTTCCTCGTTTAAATATTTCAGTTTTAAAAATGTTTTAGTCTTCTTTCAGTTGATACCAAACTTGCTAAATTTGGATAAACGGTTTGTTTATTATTAGGAAAGGGCTTTTATTTTCGACTTACAAATATCTGGCCAAGTTTAGCTGTTGAAAAAAAGTAACTGTTATTTACGGTCCCTGATACATATGTACAATTCTCAACGTCGCGACGCTATAAGCACACATTTTTCAAACCAGTCACAGAAGACAGAATTAAAAATAAATTACAAAAACTAAAATCGAAAAACGCTGATGACGTAACAGGTTCTCCAAATTCTGAAACAACCAAAAGAGTTGGTTCTCCAATTGGAACACAACGGTGTTTAAACGGCGATCTTGCCATGATGCTAGATTGTGTAGATGAAAGTCAGGAGGATACATACGACATTTGCAGCCCCGATGCAATTCTCGAATTATTGAACCGCAAAAAAAAAAATAACTGAACTGAATCGAAAAGAATTTACAATTTTTTCAAGTTTCAAGTTTTTCAAGTTTGTCGCCTCGAGCGAGTAGTTATTTAATGGCGCAGGTTTGATTTACGACCCGTTCGGAAACAGGCTGTAACCCGAAAAAGCAGCAAAATTACTCTTTCTTAAATACAATGTTCCAATTTTCGCATTCGCATCCGCGGATGTTAGCTTTTAAACATCCGCATCCGCATTCGCATCCGCGGATGTCTAAAATTCCACATTCGCAACATCCCTAGTTTAAAGTACAAAACCACGTACCAAGATAATGCAAAACCGCTTATGTGAGGTTGCATAAATTATTTTCTAGAGAGTAAAAACACTCATATTTTAAAATGATTCTCTTTTTTTATAAAGCAATCGCATTTCTGGCTAGTATATTTTAGGACGAATGGATAAGGATTGAGCCAAGAGCTTGTGTGAGCAAATCCAATTTTTGGCAGCCAATGTCAGTTACGCGGTTTTGCAGAATGACGATACGCGGTTTTGTACTTTAAACGACGATATGTACTTTTCCTTAACCATAAAATAAAGTACAATATATTATTAAACACATTGGCGCGTATTCATAGTCCAGCAACTAAGTCGAAACCAACA